TTTTTTTTTTTATTACTTTTAAAATAAACGTTTGAAAAAATTTGTAACATTTTAGTATGAGCCATGTGATCGAGTATTTGCGTTACTTAGAAAATTGGATATTCAAATGAATGAATGGTTAAGGAAGCGTCATGTAAAATCATTTTATGTTTCCGTAGCTAATCCTAGCCTACGTACTGGTGCTCAAACATTACTTCAGGTAAAATAAAACTATTATTTCAAATAATTATTAGTAAAAATGAAAGATGTAAATTATTAATTTTTTTTCTTCTGATTTCTTATTATTTTAACCTTCTAAAAAAAAAAAAAAAATAAGCTATTTGTTCTAAGCTTGCTGGTCTTGGAAAATTAAAACCGAATATTTTGATCACTGGTTTCAAAAGAAATTGGGCAGATCGTGGAGCAGAAGGATTGAGTGAAATCAACGATTATTTTGGAGTCATTCAGTAAATTATATTTCTGTCATTCTAAAGCAATTTTGGTCTTACATCTACTGTAAGTTAATAGTTTAAATCATCAGATGATCAAAGGTTGTTGATAATAAGCATTATTAGTATTAAAATGAAACTATCGAATTAATAGCTAATAATTAAAATGAAGCTATCGAATTAACAGCTAATAATTAAAATGAAGCTATCCAATTAACAGCTAATATAATTGTATTCGTGAAATTCTACATCTTACCTCATTCTTGTATCTGATTAAGTTATATCATTTTCTTATACAAAAAATGAATTCATAAATATGCTAAAAATACAAAAGCAAAAATAATTGAAAATTTTATACAAAAATTTTTTTATTACTCAGAGATGCTTTTGAAAGCCGGATTGGTGTAGCGGTTCTGAGAAATTCCCGAAGTGGTCTTGATTACAGTGAACTGATGAAGCGACACAATGTAGGTGATACAGCAAGACTTAGTTTACCGAACATCACCCGACCATCAAGTTCAACAAAAACTGAGTAAGTATCATGTCAAATAATTAGTTGAATTGTTGTTATTAGGCTAAATAAACTGAAACCAAAGAAATACAATTTAAATTGATTGTAAAGATTAATTTTATTAAAAATAACAATACTTGAAAATTGTACACTTACTTGATCAGTCTTTTTTTTCGTTTCTTTTATATTCACAAATTGCAGTAGGGGAGCAATAAATCTGGATGTGCAAGAAACTAAAATGACAGAAAATGATGATAAGACTAACGATAAAAAGTATGTTATTGATTGATTTTTGTTTGAATCAATTGCAATATTTCTCATTAAATTAAACACTATCTATAAGTATAGTTAATGATTGATTGATTGAAATTGAATATTTCAGAGTGAAAAATGATGGATTAGAACGAAATATTAACATTGATCAAGATCAAAGTGGCAATACGTGTTAGTATTTTTATGATTTTATGATAAAAATTAAAATTCAATGAAAGTTTAATTAGTGAAAAGTTCATGTAAAATATTTTCACATTTAAATTTTATAAAAAAAAATTAATGTAAAGATTTTAACGGAAAGAAAGATTATATCGTATAAGCCTGACTGATATTGTCATAAGTCCGATACAGATTTGGATGAAGTTTTTCCGTATTGTTCCAAAACTACTATCAGTAATGCAATTTGTAATGCTTCAGTGAAATTAATGGTTTGAAATTAAACTATGCATCATTTTATGTTTTTTGTATGTAATGTCGTTGGTAGTAGTAGTAGTAGTAGTAGTAAGTAGTTGGTTGCATTTCATTATGAATAAATGTCGTATTTTTGATATATCTCTTCTTCATGAATAATTTATTATTTATTGTTATTCTCAATATTTCGATCTTTCTGGATTAAATCAGGAAAAGATTGATGTAAAAGAATCGTTAAAATTTGGTTAGCTTAAAAGCATGAAAAATCTCCATGTCAAATTCATCTTTTTTTTTTTTTTTTTTTGAGCTATATATATATGAATAAGCATGAAATTATTGCATGCTTTTTGCTAAAATTTTGAAGAAATTTGAATGAAATCTGAATCCGGTTAAAGGCTAAAAGCTTCATTACCGGAGCTCATTCATTCCATACACACAATCTCTTTCAGCGATGCGATTGCATCGACAAAAAGCCATTGATGCAAAATATAACGAGAAAAGTGATATAGCGATTAAAACCGGAAATCCGGATACCTTTGCAACAGCTAATACAAACGATGCTTTAAATGTAGAACATTTTGATTCCATTAATGAATCTCTACTTTTTGGCAACATTCTGCATCTTGCCGGTAATTCAACTCTATCTTCATATCTAGCCAACAATAATAGCTAAATTGTTCGAAAAGATCAAATTTATGTGATATCATAATTACTATTACTTTCTTCTCTTCATTCTTTCCATATCTCTTTCATAAACTCTTAAATTCACACTTTAATACTTCATTTTTCTAAATGGCACAAATTATTGTCCATTTGTATGTTTTAGTGTTCCTTTTTTTTTTTTTTCGCCTACATTATGCACGCTTGCATGCATGCATGCATTCATTTTATCTTTCACTAATATTTACATAATATTTTTATGATTGTTTACCTATTTTCCTAATAATTAATTCCATGTTTTAGCAACAGGCTCATTTCTGGCAAATTGTCCATTGGAATGTTTCGATGAAGAAAAAAATGATGGTGATGTGAATAAGAGAGGTTCATTAGGAAATGCTGGCAATGATTTGGGAGAGGTTTGAGTTTTTAGTTACATTTTAAAATTCCTAAATTATATTTTCAAAATAAAATAATAGTAAAATTTCAAAAAATTTATTCCTACCTCAAAAAAAAAAAACACTTCGTTGTAATTTTTTTGACCTTTGAATTTAAGAAATAAGCAAAGTATTAAATATAATTTAGCACAATTCCAATCTACAATTTCGATGGTTTCACTTTTGATGAGTTTAAGCTTTTATATCAATAGCTGTTTAGTATGAAAGTATTAATTGGTGAAAGAGTAGAAGAAATTGGAAATGATTCCCTTGAAATTACTCAGTTACTTAATTACTCAGTTACTTCATTGCTCAATTACTTAATTACTGTATTGCAGATTTTCAGCTAACCAAATTGTTTGTTAATTTACATGTGTATGTCTGCTATAAAAACATATGTAAAATTGCTAATTTATGTTCTTTTATAGAAATGTTTTTTTTTTTCCAATGTATAGTTAGAAATAAACTAAAACACGGAAATTAGTTGATGACAAATTAGTTTCTGTGTTTTCTAGGATGACGATGAATATTCGGATGAGAAAACACGACTAACAAAAGATAGCAATGATGGAGATCATCATAATCATTGTCATCGTCATACTGCTATTATTAATTGTGATAATAATAATAGTAACGATGATGCTAATAATGATGATGGTAATGATAATGCTATTGATAACGATAAGGTCCGTCTGCTTTCTCACATCTGTTTTATTAACATTAACGTTAATTCTTTTTTTCTGTTTGTAACTTATCGTTTATTTTGTCGCTTAATTATTTAAATTTCATTCCATATTCATAATCGTGATATTTGTGATATTAAGTGCCATTAAGGAAAGATGCATTTCCTTAATTTTTGCGCATTTTGCAGTTAATACTTTTTTTTTTCAGTCTTATTTATAATCAATTTGCTTTTTTAACTTATTCAACAGCTTATGCGATAATTTTACAATTTATTTACTTGTTGTTTACATGTTTATTGAAATGCATGATAGGATATTTGAATATGCTATAGCATTGAGAAAGTTACATTGCTTTGATAGCTTGATCCATTAATATTCTCCTAGATGTGACCGTAAATCCGACTACCAGAAGAATATATTTTGCAGCTTTCATCATTTTTCATCTGCAAGAAAATAATGATATTGCTGGGATAGTTTAGAACAATGAAATATGGAATAATCCAAAATTATAGCCAGATATCTTCTTGATCATTGATTTTTTACTATTTTAATTAGTAGAATATCTAAAAAGTACCAGTCGCTGGCAGAATTTATAACATAAAATCGCATAACTATGACAAATTCGTATTTCCATGATTTACGACAATGCGGCGAATTTTTCGTAAGAAATGAATCTTAACAGTTATAGCAGTGAATTAACTGCTTAATATCTCAAATTTTGCGCGAAAATTGAATTTAGCAATGCAAACAGACTCATCAGTTCCGAATTTAAAAATAATGGTTAGCTATAATTTTTTTTTTAATAAATGTAATTAAGGTATTTAACTTTTCAGGTACCTAAAGTATCCGAACCACCCAGACGACATTCATTGTATGACAGTTTCCGACGGTAATTTTTAGCTATTTCATTTTTTTCTTTTTTTTCTTTAAATTCTGAATATCAATATACCATTTAGTCTTAAAATCTTAGATAAAATTCAGCAATTATTACTAGACCAGTTACAATGGATCAGGAATATTTAAGATAAGAGAGATATAATTTCAAATGATGAATTTACTGTTTTAAGTATTACTCATCAGAAGAATTGAAATCGATTAAGTTCACTGGATGATGTAGACTGGAGTATTGTCAATATCAGGTCTCATAACATATTGGTCATAGTGTTTACTAATACTTGTTTGCTAAAATAATGTATTTTTTAATTATATAGTATAGATCATAATTGCACTTCTTTTAAGATAAGCAAAAATTGATATTATAAAAAAAAAAAAAAGGAAAAAAATGACTGGAATTCAGACGACATAAGTCACGAAAAAACAGCCATATGAACAGTATGAATAGTGAAGGGTGTGTTATGATTTCATTAAGCTTTTGTTTTTATAGTGTTGTTGTTGTTGTTGTTGTTGTTGTTTGTTGTTGTCATCTGAATTACATACCAATGATATATTCTTCTTCTTACGCATGCAAGCTTTATGCATATTTCTAAATTTTCACTTTTATATTTGGAAAATTTTTTAAATTTTATTCAGATAAATTCTTCAGATAATAACGGATTTTCCTTTTCGTTATGATGCTTTAAATGAGTTACTGTTTATCATACAAAGCCTAATATTGGACGAAATTTCTTTTTTTTTTTTTTTTTGACATAATATTCAATTAACTTTATCCATCTGATTTATATTTAATGTAGATGAAAAGCCTAATCGTGAACTGATCAAATTTTTGGCTTTTATTTTCTTCAAATAATCATTTGCTAATTTGTAATGATTGATTCTATCGCAGTGGTTTTTGTTAGCAATTGTTTAGTTGTATTCTGCGATGTTAATTCTGTTTGTTTATTTAATTTAATCCGCGTATTAGCTAATTTTTTTTTTTTTTTTTTTTTTTACATCCTTTTATTTCAGATCAAATCGTCCAACTGCTGCACAACGTGAACTTGTTGCATCGATTTGTCGTTTTCATCGTAAAATCAAAGGTGCAGTAATTGACGTCTGGTGGTTATATGATGATGGTGGCTTAACTCTACTTGTTCCACATTTGTTAACGTTACCAAAAAGTTACCTGGAGGTAAGTTAATTATTATTTAGGGCAAAAGGAAATAGTGTTTTCTATATACAAATTTTTCCTTCAATTTACCGAAAGCAAAACTTTCGTCATTACTAACCTGTGATATTCTTATGGTACAATTTTTGTTTTACGTTTTCTGCTTTTCAATTAAGAATGCACGACTGCGTGTTTTCACCATCTCCACATCACCAACATTGATGGAACAGGAACAAAGGAGTATGGCAGCATTATTGACAAAATTCCGGATCGACTTCTCCGATGTTTTCGTGATACCGGATATTGGTAGGAAGCCTAGTGCACAAACGTAAGTTGTTATGATCTTTAATATCCTAACTTTTTATTTTCTTTGACTGTAATTTCCGGCTTGTTTTTCTTCTAATACCAATCCTTTTAACTTAATTTTATTTCAAATACTAAGTTTTAATACCAGTATATCATTCAAATTTTCAATTTTATCCTTAGAGCATCGTTTAATAATTTTTCAATCTAATTTATTGTCAGGAACAATGAACTACGAATATTTTGATTTTTCCAAAAACTAATAAATGGCAACGAAATTAATTCTAGAATTGAAATATTTTCCGAGCTTATCAAACCGTTTATTTGTGAAGATGATAATGTTCAACGGGGTTTGATAACACGGTCGGAGTTAGAAGCTCAGAAGCACAGGACCAATCGACATCTGAGATGCTCCGAGTTACTCCACGAATTGTCTTCAAAATCTGACCTCATCGTTTTGTAAGTTTTATATTCTGAAACAGATGATTATCATCTTTAGGATTTCAAAAAGTGATTAACAATAATCAGTATTCGTCACTAAGCTAAGGTAAACTAAAAAAAACCAATCGATAATCGTTTCTCTTTCTTTTATGTACAAATATCTTGAAGAAGTTTGTTGACTAGAAAAATTTTCCAGAACATTACCGGTACCACGATTTGGCTTCGTGAGCAGTTGTTTATATATGGCATGGTTGGATATGATGACACGAGATTTGCCACCAACATTGATGATTCGTGGCAATCAAACATCTGTCCTTACATTTTACTCATAATTTACTGCAATATATTAATGAATGACATTTCAACATCTTTATATGTAAAGTATAATAAGGTTAAATATAATATTAATTTAAGCTTTAAGGAAACTTTTCTTTTTCTTTGTTTTGTACACCATAAAGTTTCAATCTTGTGTGACTTTTTGAGTTTTTGAAAAAATTAAAATTTAGAAAATGATAAATATCAAATCTTGTAAATGCGAGTGATTTGAAACTTTCATCTTTCTCATACTAAATTTTAAAGTAAGCTTATCTGAAACTTTTTCGGTTTATCATAATTTTTTATGCAATTCATAGAACTTTTTGCGGGATTTTTAACGAGCCTATTTCAATTGTTGAAAGTGTTTTCCAAAATTTTATTTTGATTTTCCTTCCAATGTTGTGCAAATCACGGAAAAATTAATTAGATTTGAAGCATAAAGAGATTAAAAGAAAAATGAAATTATGGAAACTTTCTACCATCTATATCTTATACTTGCTTTAACTTTATTCGTCAAAGGTTAAGCAAATTCCAGAATGATGGATGTAGCCAATTAATCATAATGAAAGTAATGAAGAAAAGGGACAGAGAAGAGAAAGCCTTCTTTATCCATTTGGCATTTGGTTGTTCTATGATTTGCTCAGTATTTTATTAAAGAGTGTAGAGAAATTGAATAAATAAATAATTAAATTTTATATTTTATATATAAATATTACTCCTAAAAATCTCTATATCATAAATTAATAGCTGTCAAGAGGTGCAAGGCTTAGAAGGGAGAAACAATAAATGAATGATTAAATTTCATACCTTTTCTATCCAAATGGAAGTCAAAGGTTAGACAAATCCTCTGAGTGATTATTTTAACTTGTTAAACCTCTTCTTTTCATCCCTTCCACGCAGTGCGCTTCATTTTCTTTCTATTCTTCTCATAAAAAACTTTCGATGATGCTACTGAAATCGATTTGTGCTCATTTTTTTCTTTTCGTAAAAATGTTTCCTTTTATTTTCTTCATACTTCATATTCACTTTATTCTCAAATCCAACAGTTAAACTAACTTTTTTAGAAATGATCAAAAACAGTTTGGAGGAGTTTGTGATATGTCACCTATATGTCTTCAGATCTATCCAAACATGTCTATCCTTTGTACTCCATCTGGCAGTTACATATGAAAGTTTGCATGTGAGAAAGATAAACATCGAGAATCTCGAACTCAGCAAAAGAAGTGGGAAGTTCAAAACTGTAAACAGTATATACAGTAAAGCATACGACACATGTAAAGTTAAACGGAAAACGAATGGTCAAGTACTCTAAATTTCGGTTAAAAGGAGTTGTGGTAATGGAAGACTTAAAGGAACTTTTGTGAATTATCATTTCAGTAGGCTTAAAAATAACCCCATCCCTAAACTGAAGTCAAGATCAATCTGAGAATATTCACTACGTCTAGACAAAATTTGTGTGTTTAGTTTCAGATGTGCAATGTTATCAGTTTTTATTTTGAGTCCCTTGCTCTTTTTTGATAATTTTGACATCGAAAAATACACAAATTCCGGTGAATTTAAAAGACTCGAGATTCTCGATTTACTTTTCTTTCTTACAGAAAAATTCTCGGTAAGGTTACAAGGAATATTTTAAATATTATGGATGTATAGATACTTTTTTGGCCTGTTCATTTTATTATTACGTATTTGGAAAAACAATTATCGTTGCCTTATTATTATCAAAAAATATATGGTAAAATTTCAGTTTTTGATTTTCCACTTTGGATTAAAGCAGGATAAAAAAAAGTGGTGACAGACCAGTGAACGCAAGCATAATCGTAGCCGAGCTTTGAATTTCACGTCTGATGCTATGATATGACCTTTTCACATTTACGTGCATTAATATATTTGATATGTTGTTAGGTCCTATTCTAACTAGTGGAATAATTTAATCTAATTGCAGTAATTGTTGACCTTTCAAAGGCTTAGCTTGGTCAGCATGACCTCGTAATTTACTATAGAAGAAGTTGACAAGTGACATTATTGAATCGGTTGCGGCCCCTCAAAGTTCGTCTGGCGAAAATGACCGTCCCACACAAATCACAAGCCCTGTCCAAAAACTTATAGCGAAAACTAATTGGAATATGATGAAAATTTAACGCTTCTAATCATGGTTACCTGTTGCTGGTGCGTTGCGAAATAAATTTCCCACTAATTTTATTGCTTGAAAAAAAGGGGTTGCAACAATTTCGCTGGAATAATTAAATAATTAAAATTAAGTACGGATAAAAGTAGGGTCTACTAAATTTGAACATGCAATTCTCGAACTGCAAGAGTAACTATATACTCAAGAGAAGAGAGGGAAAGAATTTAATGGGATTACATTAGAGGGAAACATTTTGTAAAAAGAGTAGGATAGAATCAATCAATCGTCTTGCAAAATTTCTGCAATTTCTCTTCATTGAACAAATACAACTAAAATATCTGTCCAATCATCGAATTCTAACATTAAAATAAAATTTATACAATATTGATCAGATAGGATGATGAAATCCTGTAAGTTAAAAACTAATATAATGAGAAGGTTATAAGCTCATAATGGAAGGATGTCACAAATTAATTCTGGTATTTAATTCGCATCTGCATCATGAACCATGGAAAGAGGCAACCATATCTCCATGACAACCTCCCGTGGAGCTTACCAAAGCATTTCATATATCAGATTAGAAGAGGAGCTTAGGTAAGCTATATATATATATATATAGATAGATAGGTAGATAGATAGATAGATAGATAAATAGATAAATAGACTTGTGACAGGTAAAAACATACCTTTTTTGAGTATATATAGGAGAGGAGTTTTGGTTAAGCTTCACCAAAGTTATCATGAAAATCTTATATGCTTTTGTTTGAATATTGTCTACATTGTAAATACACATACTACAAACTCATGTTTGGAGTCAATATTGGTACGCTCTGAAGAATCTCAGGCCATATCCTAAAGGATCTCAGGTCATCTTTTCGAATCAATCGATTTGATCAATATGGATTATTGTAAACAAATTCCCCCCCTATATTAGCTCCAATATCAGAAAACCGGACACACATTCTATTTACGTATACCAATATCTTCTTCCAACTTCTCTCGTTGTGAAACATGTGAATAGGATATTTCTTCTCATTTTCACTCACTCCATTATCTATTTTGATGGAGAGGGAACCAAGGTATCCAGTCCGATTTATGCAAACATTCCTGATTGTTTAACCGGTATATCTGGAACACTCGACATGGCCGGTAATTTAAGCGGTTTGGCCGTCCAACTTTTGCAGCCTGTGCAGTGATTTATAGTACGTCTCACTTCCATTCATTCTTTAGGTATCCAAAATTTGCGCCTCATTTCTGAGGGAGTATACGCTATTCCGGCATGATATAGTGCTTTCCGGCATGATATAGTGCTTCATGTTATTGTCGTATATGTAGTTTGATGACCACATTATATCTTGATATAAATAGATTTGACGTTTACTTTCATCATCCTAGTTCCGGATTTTCCAATTGACTCTGTAATCTCCATAATTCTAATCATCACTATACAAATTCCATTTCTTCTTTTCTTTTTCACTGATTCTTTTGGTCTAAACTTGTCTGATTAGAATCCATTCGAATAATCTAGATCCGTGATATTTTCGTTTCCCTTCAACCCGTATCGATTGTAACCATGCTACCTTCTTCTTTGTCGTTCGTCCAATAAATTTGGGAACCCAAATGGTAGCTCATACCATTCTGGATCACTTACTAAATCTATTTCCATCTATAGACGAAAACTGTGTTTCCTGAATTTTATCTGTTATTTCTTTTCCATTTCTTCGTTTCCATAATCTTCTGTCAGCTGATATTCTCATTAGGCCATCCGCATTTGGGTTTATTTAACCATGATGGCCTGTTCCA